GGATGGCAAAATAGAGGAGGATGGCATGACCATACTCCATGAAGCAGGGTAAGGGTGCTTTCTACATTTCCCTCTCTAGTAAGTACATGCATCATCTGGCAAATTAAAATTTACACAAATAAAGAAAATGACAATTCAATCATATAAGGCATTTCTTAAAACCTTACAAAGGCATTCCATCTCAGACTTATAACAGTATAGCAGTTCTTTCAAAGGCCTGCAGACCCTTACATAATCTGACCTCCTTTACCTTCAGACATTATCTCCTATTCACCTCTTGTACACTCACCCTGCCCCATCACACTGTTCTTTACTGTTCCTAGGATAGCCCAGGGGCTTATGCCTCAAGCTTTTATAGTAGGTATTCCCTCTGCCTCAAATGCTTCCTCAGAGGACTTCTCTCTCGGGACTTATTTCCTTTATATCTTCATTTGAGTGTCATCTTCTCAGTGAGGACATCCATTCTTCAACTGACATACTATATATTTATTTACTTGATTGAATGATTATTGCCTTTCACTAAAAAAGAAGCTTTATGAAGACAGAGACTTTTGTCTGTTTTTGCTTACTGATGCATCTCTAATATAACAGCGTCTGGCTAAATGAATGGAAAGATGAATGGAATGAATCATCTTTAAGTGAGTAATCCAAAAGTCTTCCGCAACCAGGCATCACGGCAGCATTTGGAACTATACTACTACTTTTCACTTAAAAGTATTCTAATGCCCCGTAGGAATACGTTCTTCTCTTCTACTTTCATCTCTCCAACTGTTCTTCCTCTGCTTCACTGAAGGTTCTTTTCCTACTTTATAATCCTTAAATGTTGGTACTTCCAGGGTTCAATCTTCGGCCAATTTTTTTCTCACTATAGTTGCTCCCCTGGGTTCTTTCAATCAACCCCATGTATTCAACTAACATCCATACAGCAATGATTCTCAAGTATTTCTCTTTAATATCAAAACACATCAAAACCAGATCTATATTTCCAAATCTGCTAGAGAAACCGACCTGGAAACCTCAAACTAAAAAATACCACCACAGAGGATTATTTAGTGCCTATCACAAATGTGCTTCTTCTCTTCATTTTTTCATCTTAATTAATAGTATCTCTATCTATTCACATGCTCATGCTAAGTTTATAGACATTCTTGATTTCTCACTTTCTCTCACAACCTCCCCCCAAAAACTGACCTATATTTGATATCAGTTATGTCCATCATCCCACCTCTGAAACATTTCTCATAGCATATAATTCCTATTTTAACTAACCTACTTCAAACTGTGCTATACTGCTATAAAATCATTACATTTAAATGGTTATTTATTAGGATGTCTGATGTTGCAACTAGACTGTTAAGTTTTTCAAGACCAAAGATTTATTCATTTCTGTATCCCCAGATTTCAGTATGTGTGTCATCATTTGCCAAATAATGAATGCTCAATTAAGGTTTGCTGAACTAAATACAAACACTAAGTACAAACTCCTTCCAAGTTTCTCAGCAAACACCATGGTTTTCAGATTACATTACCAATGAATAAGTGGCAGCATATTTTTTTATAAATCAATATGGGAACTTACTAATTTAATTAGTGTTATGATAGAGTCCTACTTTAATAGTACCAAGTGCCAAGACACATTACCCTTAGGCTGGATGTGTCTGTTACTGAACTGCAAGACAGCATACCATTATCAAAGAAAAGCAGATTCAGAATTGGAATATTTTCTTTAATATCCTTGCCTAAAACCTAGATGTGACTTTCTTACAGAAATATGTTTCTGGAGCATGAATATCACATGATAAGCATTATCTAGGGAATGAAAGTCATCCTAGCCATGTTTGTAGCTTGTTCAGGGAAAAAAAAAAAAAAAAGATGTTCTGAATTTTAGCTGACTGCATTTTAAGAAGTAAATATATTTTCTTACTATAGTTTAATTAACTGATTATGCTAAAATTCAAACTGATACAAATGTCATTATTCATTCATTTCTATGACAATATGAGAGGAAAAAAATTCTCATTTATCAAGGAAAAGTTATTATATGTATCTATGTATCTTCTTGATTTGCTATTATAATAGATATTTCTATTCTTTTAAACTCTTTTCCAAATTCAACATTATTTCCTTAATTTTCACTTCTCCTCACTCAAAATTATTTGAGGGTTCACAAATAAATTAATCTATAAACAATGGCTTAAGATAGTGCTTTGAGGAAAACACAGAAACAGAATAAAAAACAGGACACACAGATTGCCCCAAAACAGATCACAAATAATTAAGGGCCTAAACATATAGCCACAAAAGCTTAGCATTCATATTCTACCTGCTCCTTAGAAATCTGTATTTTGGACCAAACTGTATAGCAAAAAAAACAAACTATCTTTCATAAGAATAAATTTGGGTAAGATAATAAATCTCTACCAAGGATCAATGCTCTTAAATATATAAGTATATAGTTATGAGACACCATATAATGTGAAGGCCTTTTCAAAGACGATACTTTTTTGGGGACCAGCAGATGGCATCATGGTTATTATCACTGGACTCCCATGTAGTTGACAGCAGTTCGAGTTCTGGAACTGGTGGCTTAAATTCATGCCAGGCGTGTGTGCATGAGTGCCCAAGATCCCGAGAGGAGAATGGAGGAAAAGGGATTGCGGTGTCACCATCACCCTCGTGGGTGATTTCTCACTTTCTGTCTCTCTGTTTCTCTTTTTCTGGCGAGCGCATACAGCCTATACCGAAAAGCTCACACACAGACACACACACACACACAAAGATAGCTTTCTTAAACTATGCCACGCATAGTTTAAAAGAAAACCATGTCCCTGGGACCAGCAGATGGTGTAATGGTTATATTGTTGAGTCACCAACCAATCAACTGTGGTCTGAGTCCTGAGGTGCATGTGCGCCCAAAATCTGAGAGGAGAATGGAGGAGAAAAGATTGTGGCATGGCCTTCCCCCCTGGGGACTGATTTCTTGCTTTCTGTTTCTCTGTCTCTCAGGCAATCACACAGCCCTATAGCAAAATCTCTCTAAAAAAAAAAAAAAGAAAAGAAAACCGTGTCTCATGTATTATTCAACTTAATCACTTATGACAGAAATGAGAACTTAGGTTAAATGATACCACTCTAACCATTTCCATAGTTTTAAATAAAATGCTTGCTTCTCAAATTAATAATTCAGTTATAGGCATTTTTTTAAACTTAGTATCACATTACATCTTTGCTGTTAAATTATTTAAGTGGCTTATACTTGATAATCCCTTTTTAGAATTCTTTATGTTGAGGTTTTCATACTTAGAGGAATGCTATAGGACACTGTAGAACAAAGAACTTCTATTTCAACTTTACCCAGACTCTCCTGTGGTTAACATTTTAGCACATTTGTTCCTTCCCTTCCCCCACCTCCCAACACTGTCACTAGTAATTTCCTGAACAATTCCAGCGTAAGCTATAAACATGATGCCCCTACACCCATAAATAGTACAGTTCACATTTCCTGAAAGCAAATCCTGGCCAATAGAATCACCATGTAAACTTCCAAATCAGAAAATCAATTTAATACTACTATAACTCTACCATCCAATCCACAGACCCTATTCAAGTTTTACCATCTGTGCCAACAATGTCCCTTGATCCAGGATACGATACAGGAACATATGCATTTAGTTACCGTATTTCTTTAGTCTCCTTCAACACGAACATTTCTTCAGCTTTTCCTGTCTTTTCCTAACAATGTTAAAGACTACAATTTTTTTTTTTGTCCTGTACAATAGCCCTTGGTTTAGGACTGTGCAATATTTCCTTGCAGTCAGCTCACATAATGAGTTCTTAGCAAGAATTTCCCAGAAGGGATGCTTTATCAGCACAGCATTTTGAAGTCACACAATGTCAATTTGTCACACCTGATCAACTTGGTATTTGCTGTAAAAATACCACTTTCCGGTTTTGTATTCAATTAAGTCTTTTGTGAAGAGAGATTCAGAGATGATACCAAAGTTCTGTCCTCATAAAAGCTCAACCCACCAACGTTAACATTCTTTGATGATCCTTGACTAAATCGATCACTACTATGATTATTGCCGAATGGTGATCTCTTTATAGAATTCCTTCTATGTATATTTATCGGTCAGCCTTCCACACTATGGGAGATTTATCTTCTCCCCTGTATTATTTTTGTTTAGATTCATGGATTCCTATTTTATGTAATAGGATGTAATTAATTGTTATCATTATCTATTTTCATGCTTAATTGCCCCTGATTTCAGCCACTTCTAGCTAACTTCTCTGTCATTTTGACATGTCAACACCATTTGTTAAACATTTCCTTACTTTCTAGCATAACAACATGGTCTATGTTTATCTTATATATTTCCCGACCTATTCATAAGTCAGTACTATATCTAGGGAGTCCTAACTCCTTTTAGGGAAGTATGGTATTTAGAAATATTCATGGAAAAAATGGAATTAAAGTATGAGTTTATTTTGGCACAACATGTTTAAAAATTCATGCAGATTTTTTTTTCATAATGCGCATTTTCCATGAAATTTTTGAAGACCTCTCAGATCTGTTCACATATGTTGGAAAAAAACATGATTTATAATTTCTCCAATTCCAATCCAACATCTCAAAGTCCTTTCTTGCCTCTCCCTTTTCTATATTTACAGGTCTCTTCCCCAAGACTGAGGAGCATAGTTCTCATTATCTTCAGTAAGTTCCCTCCTTTGCTTAATAGGTTTACTTACCTGCTCAATGTAACCAATATTCTAATCATACCAGCTCCTCCATCCTTGTTTTCCCTTCACTGCTTTCTCCTTAATGCTACGTCTGTGCCTCCATATTTGGGAAAGAGAGGGGAAGACAAAGGGAGATACGAAGATGAAAACAGGAGAGAGGGAGGAGGGAGAGAGAGGAAAAGGGGTAAAAAAAAGGAAGGCAATGCAAGGCAAAAGAGGAAATGGGAAAGGAAAGGAAAGAAAGGGAACTAGATACTCACTTTTAAAACACCTTCCACAGCCATCCTCCCTTCATGTCCTAGTAAAATGGTATATGGATAAAGCCACTGGATTGCATGCTTAATTGACATCGTAGGAAAGGAATCCTATTCAGGAGCAAAAATATATAGGAATGAGAAACATCTAAAACAATCATAGAAAATCTATCTAAAATAGACACATGACATTAAAATTGCCTTATAAAAGTAACCAGTAGGCTGGCCCATAAGATGGCTGGATCCTATGTGGCCTATGGCATGGCTCAAGTCCTACACCCAGTAGCTTGAGACACATGCCAGGTGCATGTGCATGCATGCCCAAAATTCAGAAAGGAGAGTGAAATGAGGAAGAGATTATGACCATCCCCCTTGGGGAGGGATGCCTCTTTATCTCTCTGTCTCTGTCTCTTTCTCTCTCTGTTGAGCACTCTGGCAAATTAAAAAAAAAATAAATACTAGGTTTCTGGTATTTCCGGAGGTCTGCAAAAGCAAATATTCATTATTTTCACTTCTCTTCCTATTCCATACTCTTCCCCTAGATAAAGCCCATCCCAGCTTTCATCTAAACATTAATAGCTCCCATGACCTCTTTTATTTTTCGTTTTTTTGGAGAGGTTTTTGCTATAGGGTACGTGCGCTCACCAGACAGACAGAGACAGAAAGACAGAAAGCGAGAAATCACCCCCCAGGGGGGATGGCCACGCTGCAATCCCTTCTCCTCCATTATCCTCTCGGGATCTTGTGCACGCACGCACATGCGCCTGGCTTGAGTTTAAGCCGCCGGGTCCAGGACTCGAACCGCGGTCGACTACACAGGAGTCCAGCGACATAGCCATTATGCTAACTGTTGGTCTCCATGACCTCTTCTTTGCGCTCTAGACTTGAACCATCAATTGCCCATTACCTGTGACCATATGGATATCCTGTATTTGCCCATTCAACATTTATGAAACTGAACACATTTCCCTACCCTACTTATTCATTCCTAATCTGAGTTTACCACATCCACATTCACCTAGCTTCACAGTTCCATTGTAAAGTCAGGAAATGTGCATTATCAAAAAAGAAATGTTATACATTGTAAAGATATATGCAATTAAGATATATATATATATAAAAGTTCATTATCCTCAAATCCTCTCACCCAAATAAAATTGCTCTCTCAGTTCCGTTCATCCTACTTTAAAAAGGTCATTGGCAAGGACGATTAGCAAATTTTCAATACAGACTAAATAATAGGCAATACTGTAGCTACTGTTAAGATAACATGAGTATGATAAGGGTTTTCTGCTATATAGAAGAATGACCTAATTCTTTCAAGTTGCAAGTATTTAAGAAGTTTGACTGCAATTTACTTTCAGAAAAGTTTAGGGGGAAAAAAGAAAGAAGAGTGTAAGTAAATGTGGCAATACATTAAAAATTGGTGACAGTAAGAGAAAAGATTATGGGTGTTTGTTTTACTATTTTTCAAATTAGATAATTTTCAAAAGGTCCTGGGCAAAAACAAAAGAATGACAGGACCAACAGATGGCATAATGGTTATGTTGCTTGACTCCCACATAGTCAACCGTGGTTCAAGTCCTGGACCTCGAGGATTAAAACTGATGCCAAGTAAATGCACAACTGTGCCCTAAATCCCAAGAGATGACTAGAGAAGGGATTGAGGCATGGCCACCCCCCAGAGAAGGGGGTGATTTCTTGCTTTCTGTCTCTTGGTGTCTGCCTCTCTGGTAAGTACATGTGCCCTACAGCAAAAATCTCAAATAAATAAATAAATAAATAAATAAATAAATAAATAAAATAAAAGAATGAAAAAGTACAAGATTTTATTAACAGGAAGATAAATGGTATTCTACATGTATAGGACAATGTAAATAATACTTGGAAAAATCTGACTTTCAAAATCATTTTTTTAAAATAAAACTTTTTAAAAGAGCAATATAAATTTAAAACAAGAGTCTCTTGCCTAACGAGATACCCTAACTCCCTTAGAGGATTCTCTTCTCATTCAGGCCTCAGTAATCCTTGTAACAGGCTCCTATTTGTTACCCATACATTCAGGATCTCCCCAGTCCACTCTTGCTGTTAACAAAGGTGACTTCCTCAAACATGACTTCCTCAAACACAAATATCGTCATATCATGCCCCACTTACTTCAAAATGTCATCATGTCTTCCACATAGTAAAATCCAAATAATTTCACCCACCATGCAAAACACTTCACAACAGGATTCTAAGCTCTCTCTTCACCATATACACTTGCTCAAGAGATACAATTTATTTCATTCTCCAAGTGAACAGCTTGCTACTGGTATTCTCTCAGCCTGGTGGGAATATATACTTTCTGTGTGCCTCCCAACTTTCTCTTCCAAAAGTCAACTTCCGCAAGTCTTTTTAAGAAGGCTGGTCTTAGGCTTCTCCAGCCAGTGTTGCTTACAGGATGGGAGAGCACCAAGTGCCAGAATTTGTACCTCTTGGACAACCACTGACCAGTGATTTATGGATGCTATCACATGAAAGCACCTTAGGTTGGGACAACTCTGAGGCACAATTTCCACTGCAGCTAGCCCCTCACTTGATCAGGCTGAAGCTTTCCTTCTCTCTTTAGACCTTTCAGTGAGACTACATGTCTCCCTCCTCCTGCTCCAAAGCTACAAGGTCTTAAAGGGTTTAATACATGTCCCTGGTCTCTATAACTTACTGTACAACAAATTAATCTCATCTCTTAGCAGAAGTAAATAATGACAAGACAAATTGAGGTGATTACTCTCCAATGATTAACTTTCAGAGTATCTTTGTTACATGTGGGTATACCAGTCATTCATTTGTTTTATACACACCAGAATTTGAACTGCAGCTGGTAAACTATCTAAAGGAAAATCTGGAAGTCCAAGAGTAGAAGATTCTTGGGAACAGAGAGTTGTGGCAAAGGATAAGAGTTGAGAAACCCTATGGGAAAAAATAAATAATATCAAATTTTTGTTTAATAGTTTTAAAATATAAAAAGTATACATCTGTTAAATATAAAATAATTGGGTCAATTTAATTCATCTAAGAATATTACTAATTCTTAAAGCATTCTACTACTAATTCTTTAAGAACAATGGATCCATATTATAATATTCCATTTATAACTCAGATGCTAATTAGATACATAAGAATATTTGCCAAATTTGTCATAAGTGAGGTTTTAACAACTCTGTCCCAATCCACCCTGCCAGCTTCATCTTCCCATTTAGGCTTAGCAATCCTAAACCTAAACTCTACACTCCGGGAGCTATTTTATGCCTCAGAATGAAACAAAAACTTTCATATCACATGCTTTGAAGTAAAAAAAAATTCTTGAGTTCCTTAATTCCATTCTCTACAACACTCATTCTTTAAGATTCATTTCAAGGGGGCCAGCAAATGTTATAACAATTACGTCACTGGACTCCCACACGGCAGACCACATTTCAAGTCCCAAACCCAGTGACTTGAAACACACTGGGTGCATGTGCATGCATCCCCACGATCCAAGGAGGCAAATGGAGGAGAAAGGATTGAAGCATGACCATCCCTTCTGGGGAATGATTTTTCACTTTCCCTCTCACTGTCTCTGGTGTCTGTCTCTCCAGTGTGCGCATGTGCCCTAAGGCAAAAAACCTCCTTAAAAAAAAAAAAAGATTCATTTTAGGGGCCAGGTAGTAACATAGCAGTAATACAACTGAACCCACATGGGAAAAGTAACAGGTTCACATCCCAGGACCTCCTGAAATACACTGGGTGTATGGATGCCCATGAACTAGACAGCCGAGAATTGTGTGGCTCGCAGCATGAGATCTCTCTCTCTCTCTCTCATAGAAGCAAGAAACAAATTAAATTTTTAAAAAAGACAGAAAAAGAAAAAGAAGGGGTCAGCAGGTGGCTTGGTGCTTAAAGCGCTAGACTCCCAAATGGCCTACTGCAGTTCATGTTTTAGACTCAGTGGCTAAAAATCACCCGGGGTGCCTGTGCATATATTCTCCAAATACCGAGGGGAGAGTGGATGAGAAGGGAGTGTAGCATGTGATTTCTCACTTTCCTTCCTTCTGTCTCTCTCTCTTCTCTGGAGAGCTCACGTGCCCTATGGCAAATACCTTTAAAAAAAAAAGAGCACTAATTTTTTTTTTTTTAATGTGCTTTACTATATTGCATGTGTGCTCACTAGGGAGAGACAGAGAGAGACAGTGAGAGGGAAAGTAAGAAATCATCCCCCAGGAGGAGGGGGATGGCAATGCTGCAATCTCTTTCACTCTGTTCTCATCCTGGAATTTTGGGCACACATGCACATGTGCCCAGCATGATTTAAAAGGCACCAGTTCTGGCAATCAAACTGCGGTCAGCCATATTGGAGTACAGTGCCTTAGCCACCATAACACATGCTGGCCCCAAGAAAACTAATTAAAAAAAAGAAAAAAAAAATCTATTTCAAATGCCAATACCTTTGTGAAGCCCTTATAAAGTCTTTTTTTTTTTTTTTGGAGAGGTTTTTGCTATAGGGTGCGTGCGCTCGCCAGACAGACAGAGAGAGACAGAGAGATAGAAAGCAGGAAATCACCCCCCAGGGGGGATGGCCACACCGCAATCCCTTCTCCTCCATTCTCCTCTCGGGATCTTGGGCATGCACGCACACACGCCCAGCGTGAGTTTTAAGCCACCGGGTCCGGGACTCGAACTGTGGTCGACTACGTGGGAGTCCAGCGACATAGCCATTACGCTAACTGCTGGTCCCAAGCCCTTATAAAGTCTTAACCATAAGTAGCCCCAATTATTTGAAATGAAGGCACTAACTGTGTTAAACTAAGCCATTTATATCTTTTAACTCAGTTTTAGTTTCTTCCTATCAAAAATCTTACCTTACTAATTTTATCATCAGCACCTACCAAATCTCCTAATGCTAAAAAGCTCTTTAAAGAATAGTTGTTAAATGAATGAGTCAATGAACAGCCAAAACAAACTCAATTTTAAGTGTCCAGATATTTATAAAAATATACTTACTTCTCAGCAGAAACATTGGCTCCAATTGAATACAATATGTTAAGCTGGTCCTAAAATAACACAGAATATATCATATTGAATTAATAAAGGATGTAACAGATTAAGTGCAAATGTTTTATAGACATAATCCATTCTTTTAATTAAGCAGACTCAAAGTAATTAAAAGCCAAAAAAATCATTTCCTGGCATATTTCATCTTCTAAAAGAAAAGTCAGTCTTTTAAAAAATCTTTCAGATGAACAGTACCACAAAAATTTTTCTTTCTCATTTCTAGAGATTTTCTTTACTCTATTAACCTTTTTTGTTCCTATTAACTACTTCCATGATCCTACTAAAACACAGTAACATTTGTATAGCCATTGAATTTGTTGTTTGTTATAAATAGAAAACGGTTTAAACAAACAAGTTATCCTTCATCATACTTACCTTGAAAGGTAGATAATAAATATCTCTGGCTTGAAAACGAGAACGGAGAGGAGGATCTAATGGATTCCCAGAGTACCTCGGCACTGGCAAACCCAAGGCAATCACTCGGAAATTTTCACTTACTCGGACAATCTTCCAAGCATCTAACTCCATTTTGGTATGATCCTAAAAACAATAAGAGATCCAAAAATGAGAGCATATTTAATACAAATTATAACTGCAAGAGCTGCCAGGCCAACGAACATAGGCTCTGGCTGCTGAGAAACTATTTGGGAACATTCTCAAAACCAGTCAAGGTAGGCAGCAAAGAGAAATGAG